CCCCCCCCCCCCCCCAGGCTGGGTGGCAGTGTGGCTGGCAGAGCGCTGGGTGCTGCCCTAAGCTAGATTCATGGCCGAGGCAGAGAGGAGGGGAAGGCAGGGTATGGGATTCCTGGCTGCAGACTGTCCTGGAACCCCTCTGCTGTCCAAGCAGAAAGACTTGTATTCTGGGGTATGACCAGGTGGCACAGGTTTGGGGTCAAAGTAAGAGGCTCAGACTGCCTCTGCCACTCGGGTACCCACAGAATGGGGGCTCGGTACCCTGAGTCTCCAGTAGCTCATTGCTGAGTCAGGTGCCATGGGTGCATGCATCGGGTTGGTGGCAACTAACTTCTTGCCTTCCTTGAAACCCTATGTGGGATCTGTGATAGCTTTGTCTGAAAGTGGCTTTGCAAATGCCCACGGTATGGGGATTCCCTAATTATACTGCATATGTTTACATAGAGAATTTTGGTCATTGGATTTTTCCCTTTTTTTCCCCCCAGTAGAATCAAGGCATATTTTGGCCTGGGATGTCCTGGTGTGGAAGGAATGGAATGAATGATTAAGATGGAAAACTGCTGTGGGGACAGACAGTGGGGAAGACACTATCTGTGCCTTTGCCTTAGTGCTTTTTCATAGTAGCCTCTTAAATCTCTAACATCTGATGGGTATCATCTCATCAGAAACAGCTTCAGCCCTCCCCTCAACAGCGGTGGTATGCTAAGAAGGGCTGCTGTGTGGTTCTGGGGGAGTCAGGGAAGGGACACTGGTGGATGGTGCGATGTCAAGGTGACCCTTGGGCGACCCACTGTTTGGAATACTAAAGGAGGCCCAGGTATCTGCTGATACCTCTGGTTCAACATTTTCGTGATGAAACAGTTGAGACCAAGGAAGCCAAGCAAAGAGGTCATCTTTGGTGGGTATTGGTGTCTTATATGGGGCTTCCCTTATATGGGGCTCCCCTTATATGGGGTTCAGTGGTAATGAATCCACCTGCAATGCAGGAGCCATAGGAGATGTGGGTTCACAAGATCCCCTGAAGGAGGGCATGGCAACCCACTCCAGTATTCTTGCCCGGAGAATCCCGTGGACAGAAGAGCCTGGTGGGCTACAGTCCATAGGATCGCCAAGAGTCAGAAACACGACTCAAGTGACTTAGCACACACGCGCATGCATCTGAGTGGGAATTTCCTCAAGTGCTGGAAAGATCTTTGTTTCTGAGCCCAGGTCTGGGATTTTGTCTTCACCTTCCTTTAGGTTTTTTGGTTCTTCTAACCCACAGCACAGAGCACAGGATCTTTAAGTGTCTTGTCTTTGTTTCTGTTCTTAGGTCAGGAAGATCCCAACAGTCTGCGCCATAAATACAACTTTATTGCCGACGTCGTGGAGAAGATAGCTCCTGCCGTGGTTCACATCGAACTGTTTCGCAAGTAAAGAGCACCTTCCTTTTTTCCCCCAGTCTCCGAAGCTCCCACGAAAACTGCTGCCATAAGCAAAACATCAGAACTATTTCTGAGACACTTTAGAGTATCACTGAATACAGTCCTACAAGAAGATAAGCTCTTCTCCCTTGGGATATTTTCATGTTTGCCTGTTGAAATCTACATTCTTGACCCTTCTACATGTTTTTAAGAGCCTCTGGTTCTGAAGAGATTCCCTAAGAATATTTTCTAAGTGGAATTTGGGGATGCAAATAAAAGTCAGTCTGACATTCTATTTTTTTATTTTATTTTATTTTCATTCTATTTTTTTAAAGTTTAGTATAGCCATTGTGCAGAGTAGCAATTGCTAGTAATAGGTGTCTGTTGCTGTTATAGAACCGATGCATCAATATGTCAGAGGGTCGATTTTAAATGTTTCCGCTTTAACCGGGTACTCTTTTTGGTTCTAGGCTTCCTTTTTCTAAGAGGGAAGTGCCAGTGGCGAGCGGGTCTGGATTCATCGTGTCCGAAGATGGACTGATTGTGACAAACGCCCATGTGGTGACCAACAAGCACCGGGTCAAAGTCGAGCTGAAGAACGGCGCCACCTATGAGGCCAAGATCAAAGACGTAGACGAGAAGGCGGACATTGCCCTTATCAAAATCGACCACCAGGTAGGTGGGTTTCCCACCTGCAGGACCAAGTTCTCAGGTGCCTTGGCTGATGCTTGGCTAAATCCGGAGAGGTCCAAGGACACCAGAGCTCCCTGATTTTGTGAGTTTCTCAAGTGGGACCGAGCCAGTAAGGTCTGGATCAAAGGAGAGCATTTGGGAGACGCTGAGTGTAGTCTCGGGTGGGTAAAGGGTGGGATCTCATGGAAGCTTCTTGAATAAGCAGGCTATAAGATCAGGGTTTTAATAATAATGTTCAAAATTTTTATCAAAGCAGTAGGCTTATAAAGAAATGAGTAGGTAAGCAGTGAAAAGTGAGTTTCCGTTCCATTCCTACCCCTGAGGCAGCTGTTGCTACAGATTTGTGTTCCTTCGTTTGCACTCACCATGGTAGAAAGAATTTACTGGGTTTTGAAGTTAACCATTATTAACGTGTAAACAACTGCTCTGAAAACAAACCAGGTCTCCCAAACTGGGCTTTTGCAGAGTTACTAGATGTGTTTTAAAACAATACTTCACACTCAAAAAAGTTTTGGAAACCTTGAATTAAAGCAAAGCTAATGGATTTTGTCCTCATAGCACTTCTCAAAGCTTTTCTTATGCTAATGTGCATAGGACCCTCCTGCAAGAGTGTAACTCTGAACTACAACTATCTGAGCGTAGATTTTTTTTTTAACTGAGATGTAAAGAGCTCAGTTTGGGAAATGGCTTGCTTTCTGTTGAAATATTCTTCTTGTAGTCATTTTTGTTCTGTTGATTTGTTTAGCAAAATCTTCATGCGTGCGTGCTAAGTTGCTTCAGTTGTGTCCAACTTTATGCCACCCTATGGATCGTAGCCTGCCAGACTTCTCTGTCCATGGGATTATCCAGGCAAGAATACTGGAGTGGGTTGCCATGTTCTCCTCCGGAGGATCTTGCCAACCCAAGGATTGAACCCACGTCTCTTACTTCTGTTGCATTTGGCAGGCAGGTTTTTTACCATTAGTGCCACCAAGGAAGCCCAAAATCTTGGCTGAAATCAAGTCCAGTTTTTATTAGACCATCAACAGTTCCCACTTGTTGGTATGTTGATAACAGAGGTTTGGTTTGCTAAGTGTCAGGTGCCTGGTGAGATTTTCTGGTTTCTCCACACTTTGTCACTTTTCAGACTTCATCTGGAAGGAGGAATTGGGATAGGCTGGAATCTTGTTTCTGGACCAGGAAAAGGTCATAATGGAGAGGCAGAGTGGTCTTTTCTGGCTCTCTGGGCCTTTCACCCGATCTGAGCTGTGAGGTCAGACCGCAGTGAGATAGCACAGGCTGTTTTCGTTTGTGCTGTTGATCAGGGCAGAAACAGGCCCTGTGCCCAGCGTAGGTGACTGACCTTTAGAGAGGTCTCGATTGCATACTATTTCTGTTAGGTTACCATGGGATTTCTGTAACCACTCATCTTTCAAAATGTGTTTATGGGTCACAGTATAGTCATACTAACTACTTGATAAGCTCCAAAACTGGACAAGGCTCTGCCTTCATTTATAACTTTCACCTATTCAGTCAATGGCTTTTATCATTCCCGTTTGACATAGGAAGGAATAGGGATTCAGAGAGCTTAAGTCACCTGCCTGAGACCACATAGCTAATACTGTGGTGAAATTATAGCCTCCTAAGCTGGCCAGGGGGCTTCCCGCAGAAGACGCGGTTCTGATCCCTGGGTCGGGAAGATCCCCTTAGAGGAGGGTATGGCAACACACTCCGATATTCACGTCTGGAGAGTCCCATGGACCGAGGAGCCTGGCTGGCTGCGGGCCATAGGGTTGCAAAGAGTCGGCCACGACTGAAGTGACTGGGCACACACACGCAAGCCTGCCAGGCTCCCCAAATGTCCAAGCCCGTGACCGTGACGGAGGGATAAAGCCTGACCTTTTGGTGTGATGAGATGGCTTGGCTTTAAATAACCCGCGGGGAGGCTGGCACACCCCGGTGTAGGATCATACAGCTCGCAAGGTGTCCAGGATGTGGTAGTCTCACCGGAAGGAGGCTGGCCAGAATAGCACATCCTGTGGCCACACGCAGGACTCAGCTCCACCGAGCCCTGGGGAGGCAGCCAGCCGTGCGGGCTCTCTTTGCAGGCAGGGTGCTGGTCTGGACCCTGAGTGAGCTGCTCCCGCTGAGTAATTTCATGTTTGGCACGCGTGGGCGCATCCCATGCAGCTGCTGTGGCTGGGGGATATTCTTTTCAGCTTCTGAGCCAACGTGGAGAGTGGGTTCTCCTGTCATCCCTGGCAGGTCCCAGCAGGATGTGGATTATCTTGATAAACCAGCTTTGCAGGGTGTTTCTGACCTGGCTCTTGCTGTTCCCGGGAGGCTAGCCTTCCTGCCAGCAGCAAGCTATTTGAGATGAGTTTCTAGCCCCAGAAAAAGGAGCTTGAAAATTTAAAGTCGAACTAATGTGGCTTTGCAAAATGGAATCGGAAATGAAAGGATATTAAATTGCAGACACCCACACAAGAGACTGGTTTCCACTGACTAAACTGCTTTTTTTTTTTTTGCTGATAGTAGTTGGAAGTGGGGAGAGTGAAAACATCTCTTCCAGCTCTTTCCATTTTGTTCCCTTAGTTGGAGGATTGATTATTTAGGAGAGGGGGGCAGGGACTGGTTTGTAATGAGGCTCAGTTTGGGAGGAGCCCCTTGATTCAGTGAAGACTACTGTGCCCCAGCACAGGATTTTATAAATGTGTCTGCAGTGCTGGGGATGGGGGAAGGAGCAGTGAGCTTACCTTGCACTGTGTCACCTCGGGAGCAAGAACAGCAGGGAATCTCAGAGGAGGCAGAACAGATCCAACAAAACTTGGACTTGAGGATCGAACTCATTCTGAATGGCACTTGCCATGTGAGGTCATGGCTGAGTCTCCCCAGGGCCATTTGCTCATAACCCAGTGAAACTGGGGTGACTGCCCCCCACATACACGGGTCCGGTGGTCAACTTGGTGTCTTATAGTCTGGGCCCATTTCCTCCCCCAGGTCCAGGATTTCACGTGAAGGGCTCTCCATCACTAACACCGAGACCCTCCTTCCTGAGTGTGCTATTCCTGCCACTTTTAATGAATGGAAATTACTAGGGACACCTGTGGTCACTGCCCACGTCTTCTGGGCGCAGAGGCCAGCATCTCCTGCTGGATCTATTTCTGAGCCCCCTGGACAGTCTTGTGGGGGCACCAGTCACGGTGCCCCTCCCCCAACCCACCTGGGGCCATGGGACACCGGATCCATCAGACCAAGCAGATCCTTCGCTTGGAGCAGTAGCTGAATGCCAACCGCAGGAAAATGACACGGGGAAGCCAGTGTGGCCCCTGCCGCCGGGACCCCCGGGCTGTCTGAGCTCCTGCCTTTTCAGAGCCTGATCAGCCAGCCTACTTTCCCTTTCATTCTTCAAGGCCCCCCTCACATCTTCTGTAAACCCGCCTCAGCTTGAGCTTGCCAGAGACATTTCTGGGCTTGTGACCAAAGAGCGTTTTTGCTCCTCACTGCTGAGCGACTTATGTGCACTGACTTCCCCTGCTGCGTCTGAGCCGGGGAGAACCTTTGGGGGGAACCTCCCTGAGCAGGGTGCCCGCCTCCGCCAAGCTGGAGAAGGAGGGTGTCCCCTCCAAAGGCAGCCCGCCTGCCCAGACATGTCTTTCCACTGCCCTTTCCTCAGGGCCACGGACGGGGGCCAGCGTTCGCCTGGGGCCGGAGGGGTGGTGCCAGCTGCAGGAAGGAAGGACAGTGTGCATGCAAACAGTTTAATAGAAAGCAGCTTTGAGGGCAAACTAGTTCAGCCTCAGATAAAAACGGATTCCAAAATGTGTTGAACATGACGCTGGCCGTGTGTGCAGAACACTTAAAAATTTTTTCTCCAGAGGCCGTGTTTTGTCCATGCAGCGTTTTTTTTTTTTTTTTTTTTATCGGGTCCTGTCTGCCTGTATAAAGCCCTTCACACTCTCTGTGCTTACGGAGAAATCTTAAGGACTTAACCAGGGACTTGAAGGTGCACCCAGCCTGTTGGGGGTCCCACTCTCCCCTCCTGCACTCTTCTCTCTACACCTCCCCCATTCTGCTAACCCTCCACTACTCCACACCCCCCGCCGCCACCCACAAAGCAGGGCTGTTCTCTAGGGCCCCTGGTCTTGCCTTCCCCAGGGTGTCCCCCTTCCAGCTCCTCCAAGGGTGACCTTCCGGTCCTACAGCGTGTGTGCGTGCTAAGTCGCTACAGTCATGTACAACTCTTCCCGACCCCACAGACTGTAGCCCGCCAGGCTCCTCTGTCCATGGGGATTCTCCAGGCAAGAATACTGGAGTGGGTTGCCATGCCCTCCTCCAGGAATCTTCCAGACCCAGGGATCGAACCTGTGGCTCCTGCAGCTCCTGCATTGCAGCCGATTCTTTACCGCTGAGCCACTGGGGACGCCCCCGGTCCTTCAGGCCTCAGGTTAAATTCTGCCCCATAGTCCTTCCCTGACACCCATCCAGGGAGGGTCCATGTCCCTGTCTCCCCCACCTCACTCTGGGGACGCATAACCCCAGAGGGGATCTCACGTCACTGTTCATATTTCCCTCCCAACTGTCGTGTCTGCTTGCGGATTCCAGTTTCTCTCTGCCGCTGGGGTGCGAGGGCCACAGCTGGCTTAGTCACTTGTCCTGTTGTAGGGGCTCAACAGCCGTGCGCAGAGGATGCGTTCAGAGTCCTCCGCTCAGAGGAGGCAAGGCCGGCTGCTTGTGGAGGTGGGGGGGCGGTAGGAAGGCGCTAGGGCTCCTGCAGTGGCTGCTCCCCACTTTCAGGGGAGGAGGTGACCACACAGCAAGCGGGCTGCAGGCCAGCTCCTCCATCCCCACCCCAGACTCCATGAGGTCAGTGCTTGTCTGATTCCTGCAGCTGGGACAGCGTGTGGCCTTGCCAGGCCCCGGGGGCTCTGTGGTCCTTGGTCCTGCAGCGCCCTGGGAGCAGTGAGGTTTCCTGTGGGCACTTCTCTCTGACGCCAGCACCC